ACACCGGTATCGTTTGAACCCTCCTCATATATATATATAATAAACTATTTTATATTATATATATAAAAATTAAAAAATAATTAATCTATATGACATTACATTTTACTCATAATCATGAAATTATATTTGTTAATATAATTAGAAACCCAAAATAATAAAAAATAAATTACTATATTATTATTAATAATAATAATATCATTTCACAAAATAATTAGATCAAACATATATTAGTTCAACTTACTAAAAATCTTATACATGGAAAGGTGAAAAAAATGCGACTAAAAATTTAGCATATTATAATTTCTTCATCAATTAAACTGCAACAGGAGTAATATAGTTGACATTATTTTGAAAAATGTTACCACACTTCATATTACATTGGTTGTGCGGATGTAATATCATGTTGTGAAATCTCTCGTATTTACACTAGCGAAGGATAATCAAAACCTTAATTCAAATAATGATGAGAGGAAGCAAAACTGGTTAAACAAAAATATGTAAGAGTAGATAGGAGGCAACGTTTATAGGGGGTATGCAAAATTATATAGTTAGTTCTACTTTTTTTTTTTTTTTTTTGGTGTACCACTATCCATTCTATACTTTTATATGCATGCTTATCCATTAGGTTGATATATGATCTTTTATTGGTATGTTATGTTTTGTGTTGTTTTATATATAAAGTTTTAAAGATTAATAAATTTTTTAAAGTTAAGTTGTTTAGAATTAGTTGAGTTGAAACAAAGTTGACTAAGAATAGAAAAAGACATATATAATTTTTTGGAAAGAGAAACTTTATAAATTCATTTTCAAAATACTTAAAAAGAAATTTTAAAAAAAAGTTAAAGAACTCTAATTCTTCTTTTTAATTCTATCACGAGCTCCCCCGGCTTCCACTACCCATATGAAATTAAGAAAACGAAAATAAAAACTTTAGAAGTTACATCTTTACTTACTTCTTTTCTTTATCTTTATAGTTGATTATCTAAAATATTTTAAATGAGATATAGTGAATACTTAAAAAAAAAATTACCTTCTTTCATCATAACTTATATGTGAGTGTATCTTAATATATATGTATATTAGATATGCATGATTTATCCTCTAGCATTTATTTTTTTAATCTAGATTTTAATAATATAGTGGAGTAAATTTATTTCTTTACATGCAAGTTAAAATAAAATTCGCATGTGTATTTAAAATAAATTTATTAACTTATTTAAAAATTTAAAATAAGCTTTTAAATAAATTAATAAATATATTTAAAAATAAAATTATTAAATTATTTAAAATTAAGTTTGTTAATATATTTAAAAGATGTCAAAATTATGAAACTGTAAAGTAAAATGAAAATATAAAACAAATCAAAAGATGATCCAAATAGAATAGTATAAAAAGTTGGTCACGATAGAGAGAGAGAGCAGAGAGCACACAAAAGAACAGAATAAGGAGAGTGTTTCTTTGAAGAATAAGAGTGTTTCATATTGAAGGATAAGATGGTCGTTGATGGTTGTTACTTTCCACGAACTTCGAAGAGGAGAAGACTCACCGACATGGACACTGAAATTGCCAAGGTTTATCTGTTCTACACTAATTCTTCTTCTTTTTCTTGTTTTAGTATTTTCTTTTCTTGCGATTTCCTGGTCTTTTCATTTTCGTCTCCGACCAGAGTTTGGTTTGTTTTTGTCTTTTTCTTGATCATTTGAAGATTCTTTTTGTGGGTTTCTTGCAAGTTTTCTTTTTTATCAGTGGATTGTTTACTTTCTTGGAAAGCAAAGAATTTTTATTTTTAGCTTTGTCTGTTTGTTTTCCCTGTGTTTTTGAATTGACATTGATGTGTACTAACAGGGTACCAAATTAAAAACAGATCGAAATTTAACTGATGGAAAACACTAGAAATAAACAATTAATTTTACTTCTCAATAAGTGGAAGAAAGTGCATTATCTATATCTAATCCGTGTATAATATGAATTGTGATTGATATGGATGTTGTAAAGTTTTAATCTTGTGGTGGTCTCTTTAAGTTGTCTTTCTTGTTCTCATCCTGTCTTGCTAACAAGCTGTTTATATAGAACTAGTTTGAGAATGATGTTAATGTAACCCAATTCATCTCAAATTATCATTTAAATATTGTTTGCAAATTACCATCTTGAATTGCTATATTGTTATTTAGAGTATCCATATGTTGTGAGCGAACTGGAAAATGTTAGTGGTACTTTGTTTTGCTACCTTTTTTTACTTTAATTTTGATTGTCAGAACAGTAGATTAATCCACAACCTTTTCTAGTTTTCTTCACTGTTCAACAAGCCTTGTCATTGAATTATTTTTCATACAATTGCAAGAAAAGGTATTTAGATGTTAACTAATTAGACTCTACCTTTAACTGTCCCAATTGGTGGGGTCTATCAAAACCCGAATTTTCAGTAAAAAAAAAAAACGAAAAAACATTTAGATCGAGGGCTTGATTAAAGTTTTGTATAGTGTTTTCTGTAGTCTTTCTCTCTATCATTTTTAAAAAGATATATTATCTTCCTTTTGTTCAATTTTTCATAAAAGCTTTTCCTTTACCCCTTTTAATTCTATGTTAGACATTCTCATCAATTACTTCATTACTTCCAAAAGCTGTGTAACTTGAGATATGATGTGATTTCCTGTATTCATCTCCAAAGCATTGTTACCTCTTGTCTTACTGAACTTGTATCTCATATATTCTGTCTTATTCCTACATAACCAGAAATCAGTTTATTCCAAAATCTGTCCCCACAACTAACTTTAAAATTTACTCTTTTTCTGGATTCATCAATGATGACTCTATCATCAACCATGGAATCGTGCTTAAATAATAAATGGTGGAATTCAAACTGGAACTTTTCAAATGCTTAAATAATATATAATTCCACATATTACATCTTCCTCCCAACTAACCACAAATGATATCTGTGAGGAAATCCTTCTCCATGTTCTCTGAAACATGGTTATCAGTTTGTACAATTCACTGTTCAATTCATACAATATGATATGATTCTCCAGCTTGGTCATATGAATCGTGTGTGCTAAATAGATTTTAAGTCTGAATTGTACACAAATTGTTTGAAGCGCGTGAATCGCATTCTGCACATAAATCGAATGATTCTTACACAACAGGTCGCACTCTAAACAGAGTCGAGTTGTATATGTGATTTGACAATAAGAGGTTTTTTTTCCTCTTCCCAAAAATTAGATAAGACAGGGAATTGGCTGCTGGTGTATGTTGGTTTGCCTTTGCTTGCAATCATACCAGGCAATGAGCACTGTCTTCACTAGTATTAGGTTTATGTTTTTAGTTATTATTCATGAATTTTTACTTTTATGTATCTTGGTTGTATATAATATACTATATTTTATTATTGATCATGAATCTTATGATTTATGACACGATTCGAATTCAAAAAATTATGATTTGAATCCCAATTCAATTATCATGCTCTGAAATGATTCTAAAAATATGTGATCTTTCACGAAGGCATTGTGGATATTTGTCCAATGCATATGTATTCTTTATTTATTTGCACTGCTGCCAACTTTTCCTGGTTCAGGTTTATTGCTTCTGCACTTAAATGAATTATTAATTTCAAGGATCTTTTCTTTACCATTATATTTTATTGAACCAGGCCAAGCTTGCAGCTATGCAAGAAAGATTTGGACGAGAGATCCACGTTTTTGAAACATTAGCTTTGGCTTCATCATCAAATGCTCCATTATCCAATGGTAATGGCATCTTATCTTTGACAATCCCAAGGCACTAGTTAAGTTTGCATTTAAAATTTGAATTATTGATATTCGTATGTTGAATTTTTCTCAAAAATCCTGATTAAGATTACATTTCTTGTTGGTATGTTGTAGGAGAGGAGACCGATGACTTCTATGACCTTACTGCTGAAGATTATTACAGACTTTTGGCTTCTAAAAAGGAAGGTAATATAATCATTCCATAATATCTAAAATGCCATGTAAGGTCTTGCATTTGCATTGATGTACCACTGTGTGTGTGGATATTTTTCTATTAATGGATTAATGGAGTGGAACATAGCAAGAGGGTATAAGCTGGAAAGGGAAGGGAGAGAATGAGAATATTACCATTCTGCTTGTTTGGAAGATTAATAAAGCAACATAACAAAATTCCATTTTCGTTCCCCTCATTCTGTCTCAATTTTTGGGGATGTGATATTTGTATCTTTGAGGGAAAATGATGGAGAATGGTTCCCTTTCTGTTTTGTTGCCCTCTTATTTGTTTTAAGCTTCAAAACAGGGGAACTTTCTCTTGTTCCGCTCATTTCCTTTCTATTCCCATCATTTCCTGACATAAAAAATAGTTATGATAAAAAAATTGATATTCTAATGAATGAGGTTGAAAAATGAAAGTTAAAAAATTAGGGAAAATTTGATTAGTCAATGGTCATAAGCCATTTGTATTCAGAATTAGTAGGCTAGAAGTGCCATATCACACTGCTTATATTGCCCTCAACTAAATATATTATCTTGTACTTTTTAGCTTCTTTAATGCAATTGTATATATGTATTGTTTTTGTTTACAGTTGTTGGGTGATAATACTCACTGAAAGGGTGGTGTTAAGCAGAATTAAGTTATTTGCATGTTAGGAATTCTTAGCCATAATATTCTCTTCATGATATTTAAGCTATAATGTATTGAATTTGCTCAGATAAATTCTTGAAGACTCGAAAAATCCTTGAAGCAGAAGAGGCAGCTCGTATGTCAAGAACAACCAAGGTAATGCCTAGCTTCTTTTTCTGTATTATTATTGTTGTTGTCGTCGTAGTTCCAATTGAAACTGAAAATAGTGAATAATGTTGTGTTGCATTTGCCATTATAATACTACAATTTTATATACAACAATAGGAGAATCAATTCAATGAGTTTAGGAATTAGAATTAGTCTATCTATTCTATGGAAATAATCCGAAAACAATCAAAAAATAAATAAACCTAAATGTAGACATTATTTTAGTAATAATATACAACAATAGGACAGACACACACACGAGAGGAATCGGTTTATTCCAGGAGTAAATTTATCTAAACTTATTCTGTTCAATAATTTATGTTTTAATCAAAACTACCTAAACTTACTCCATTCAATAATTTATGTTCTACATCAAATTTTAATGATCTAACCGTTAGATTTAAAATTCTTGATGCATAGATTAAATATGTAAATTTTAAAAAAATTTGAAAATCATTTGATACTTCGTTTCATTAATTCAAATCAATGTATAATATAATTTTATGATTATTTGTCAATTTGAATTAATGAAATAAAGTATCAAATGATTTTCAAAATTTTAAAAAATTTGCAGACTTGATTAATGCATTAAGAACTTTAATTTCAATGATTGGATCGTTAAAATTTGATGTAGAACATGAATTATTGAACAAAGTAAGTCTTGGTAAACTTACTCCTGGAGTAAACATATTCCTCCTCTCTCTCTCTCTCTATATATATATATATATATATTAATAATCCTAGATCACTGCAATGATTTAGTGACAGTCTCAGAATGCTGATCTTTAGATTAGAAATACGAAGTCTGATGATGCCTGAGAGGATCTTTTTCACTAAGGAAATGACTATCGACTTTTATATTCTTTGTTCTCTCATGAAAAACTAGGTTAGAGGAGAGATACAAAGCTGATTGATTATTGCATGCTACCTCCATGAAACCAACTTCACAGAACTGCTACACAACTTCCGTTCTCAACATGGCAACAACACTTTGCTTTTCATTTTTTCATTAGATAAGATTCCAAGAAAATACACAATAGCATGAAGAATATGGACAACTACATACTATTGACTGTCATAAGGAGTTAAAAAATTGACCATATCATGCCTGGGTCATGGTGAGATAATTTAATTTTTGCACCAGTCTTTGGTATCTTGTATTAGGATAAGGCACCTCTGATTATGAAAATAATTAGGAAGCAATCAAAATACAAATCAACCTAAATACGGACAGCATCTCTCTAATTACATACAAGTCTCAACAGTTCCATACTAATATAATTTTTCACTATTCATAAATGTTTTATGAAGGCTGAAATAAATCAGATTGATAAGAAATTAACTTATTAAGTTGGTTTGATCTTTTATTTGCAGACTGTAATTAGAGTACGCTTCCCTGATAATCTCACGTTGGAGGCTACCTTCCACTCATCAGAAACACTCCAGAGTTTAGTTGATCTCCTCACTAAAGTGATTACACAGCCAAAGCAGCTATTTTATATATGTAGGCATATTAATATCCTGGATATGATCTTAATTTTGAATGATTTATGGACTCTGTTTGAATTAACTTTTAACAAGTATTTATAAAAGAAGACAATAAGTTAAATGAATTAAACTACTCCCATGAGTTAAATTTAACTTATGCACAAATTAAAATCAGCTTTAGAGAATTTAAATTGGAAAATGTCAATAAATTAACTTAAGGGAAAACTAATTCATTTTACTTTCTTAATTTTTTTTTCTAGTACTTATTGCGAAATTTATCCAAATAGAGTGATGGTGATTAGAATTTTTACTGACCTTTATAGCATAAATTAAATTCCCTTGACCATTTAACATTAGTTTAGCATAGCCATTGTGGATCATCTTTTGAAAAGGATATAAATTACTAATAGAGTTGCTGTGGATGATTTGAAAAAATGAATCATATTCACTTTTAATGATGCAGATACTACTCCACCTAAGAAGGTGATAAATGACTTGTCTCAAAATTTCTATAATGCTGGCTTTTATCCTGGTGCCATTGTGTACTTTGCATATCATGTCCCAAAAGGTAAGTGAATCCTTTTACAAAATTGAGTAAACCCCTAAATCCTCTAAAGATTACTTTCAAAAGTTTTTCATTTCCGGTTAATCCTTTAATGATCTATCTTCATATTTGTTCTAATTTGGTAATTGTTTTATATCTTAATGAGAATAATTTGATGACAAAAATCATTGGAGGATTAATGTCGTGACAGAATCTTTTCACGTGATTATGTTATATCAGTACTACTGGATCATCCTTCTTCCAATCCCACAATTTTTCATGTCATAATCATATTTATAATTTATATAAATTCAGTTATTTCTCCATGTGTGAGACCATTTAAAAAAAAACATTTTTGGATTATTTGTATGGTCTCGGGGTTTTGAAGCTCATTTCAAATGTTCAAATTTTCACTTCATCCGGGAAACTTCAGATTTTATACTCATATATTCTCTTTGAGCACTATCCATGCATCTATATTGTTTGCTACAATGTGAAATCTGTTACCCCCCAAATCTATCTTTACTTGATACTTCTTCAAGAAAATGCAGTTAAGTTTTTTGCATTGAGCAATTTATAAATAACAGTAGCTTCACTTACTTTTCACATAATACACCACTAAATGTGTATAGCCTAATAAAAGATACCAAGTGTTTCACTCTCACCTTGTTTGGAATTTAGTATGACCAACTCTATTATATTTTCCTTTCTTATCCATTGGAGTGTTTAGGTGGTAGCACAGGGGGTGACCATAGTGGTCCTTACCTCCAAGAAGAGCTCTTGTCCCTGAAGCAATTTGAGCCTAAATAGTCAGCACTAGAACTTGCTGTGCCAACGCAATCTGCCCCTTCTATACTCTATCTATTCATACTGATTGTTCATATTGAGGTTCTCCTTGATGCTATTAATAGCATGTTCATGCAAAGTTCACAAAATTAAATCATAGTTGCTTTTCTCTTCTTCAGCCCTGCTTCCTTTTGTTTTCTCCATGTATTTGTAGATAATGTTTGAAAGTGTTGGATGTGTTTCTTTTGGTGACTTCAAAGTCTCAGAGTGGATGTATGTGTTATTTCAATGTTATATTATAGCTGTAGAATTTTTCTTTGGAGAATGCACGCATTTCGGTGATGTTATTTGCTTATTAATATTTCTTTCTGTATGGGCTTTGGTCATGCACATTAGACTTACAAGTTATCTACCATAATGACAAAATTAGTTTGGGTTTTTTTTTTCGGCTAGTGGTATGGATTTCAGTTTTTAGTTTGTTTTATTTTGTCACATATCTTGAGAGTACGTTTAGGGATGGAGTTTTAAAAGACAATAAAAGGGAAGATTTTCATTTCTAATACATACATACATATATCTATATATATATATATATATATATATATATATAGATACTAAAAATTGAATAGTTTTCTTAATTTAAAAATTATTGTTTTCTACCAAAAATAGACCAATAATGCATTTTGAAGAATGATTTTTTTTTTACTTTATTATTATTTTTTTTTTTTTACGTTTTCAAACATTATCTACAAATATTTATGGAGAAAACTATAGGAAGCATGTCTGAGGAAGAGAAAAGTAACTGATGTTTTCTAGTGGATTTTGTATGATACATTGAATCAAGAAAGATATCGATACTACAAGGATAACCTTAATGAACAATTTGTATGTATAGATAAAGTTAAGTGAAGCCCCTTTGGCACGACAGGTTTTTGCGTTGAATGTTGAGGTTTAGATTACCGGCCTTTGTCATTAGGACCACTATGGTCAGCCACAATACTTCTAAACTTATTCTTTATGTATAAGTTTAGAAGCATTTTACCCCAACCATATAGTAATAAAATGATGAATAAATTATAAAAATCCTAGGTAAAATGGTTCACAAATGAAATCTTTAAATAATTGTCTAATTAGAAAATCAAAATTTGAAAATAATAGTTTGTAATTGTACTTAAATAAAGGAACATGAAGTCCCAAATACAATAAAAATTATCAATAAAAAATCCTTCATCCCAATATTATACTATTAGAGAAATTCCTCAATCTAACTGTCAGCACCTTCAGATCTTTCTCATCTAAAAACAATCACAAAATATATGGTGAAAAAAGAAGACATTCATATACAAATCACAGTAGAAAAATCCAACCAATACACCCTCAATTAAATAAATACACAATTAACTCGGTCAATCATACTTCATATTATTAATTCTAAGTTCTTCAATTTCCATTACCATATCACAGTTTAAGTATGCATAATGTCACACATCCAACACCATGTCATGCACATGCCCATGCCGATACATCACACATCTAGTACCATGTCACGCACATGCCCGTGTTGATGCATTACACATCTAACACTGTGTCACGCACACGTCCATGTTAATGCATCACACATCCAATACAGTGTCGCACACACGCTTGTGCCGATGCATCACACATCCAACACCGTGTCATGCACACGCCCATGCCAAGGCATCATACACAACATTCTCATACATCTCAATTTATAATTCACATTCAGATCCATTCCATTTCAGCACACACCACCATATATACATATAGCAACACAGGTCATCCAACACACATACTTCATCTAATTACAATTCTATTTCTAACTCACGCCCGACGAAATTATAATTTCGCTAGGTGAAAGGCTACTCCAAGGGATAACGCCCAATAAAAATACATTTTCACTCGGTGTAACTTTCTGGGTTCCACCTTCATCTACATGAAGGTGTGCCCAGCGCGAGGAACTAAACCTGGTGCCAACGTGACTTTCTAAAATTCTAGAAACGCAAACAGACATCTCATAATTCGCCAATCATCAAACAACACTATTTTCATATTCTAATAGGTTAGAACTCATCACAATTACTCGAAAACACATCATAACACCAATTTCATAGAAGCATGCATCAACTTCAGAATCTCTAATCCTTCATGAACCTTAACTCACATGTACATTTCAATCAATCCAATCCATCATCCAGAATAGAAATTATAGTAATTAACACCAGAAATACCAATATAAATCCACACAGAAATCATTAGAATTATTAAACATGCAAACAAAAATAATTATAAAATATAATAGTTCTAATGTAATGTGAATCATTTCTGAGCATTGTAACATCCCGAATTTTCCACTAATATAATAGTTAATTATTATTTATTTTTATATTTATGGAGATTATTTTCTTATAATTATTTTAATTAATTAAATGGGTTTTATAGAATATTTTAGAAGTTTTTAATAATTATGAGTATTTTAATTAAATAATAAATATTTATGAAAATTATTTTGTATAATATTTATTAGAGAACTATGTATTCTTATGATATTTTGTTATTATGTGTAATTTTGTATATTTTATTTTAATTATAATTGTGTTGGAAGAAACAAATATATTTGATATATATATATATATTTGTTAATTATTAAATTTTTTGAATTTTAGTAGCCTAGAACGGGCCGTTCTCAAACTAGAACGGGCCGTTCCAAACTACTAAAAAGACCTATAACCCTAGTTGGGAATGACCCGTTCTGATTTAAGAATGAGTCGTTCCAAACATGGTCGTTATGAGTTAAAACTAAACTCTAGAACGGACCGTTCTGGTTTAATAACGGGCCATTCTAGATGCGAATTTAACACATGATGAATGAATCCAGAATGGGCCGTTCCGGATCCTAAACGGGCCGTTCTGGCCACGTTTGACATCGATAAATAGCAAACTTTGGCACTGCTTTTGGACACACTCTTTGAAGACCAAGGAGAACCAAAAGAAGGAGATCAGCCAGATTCTGCTCTAACTTCATCTTCTGCTTATCCAGGTAAGGGGGAGTGACAAACCTCGCTCGGGGGTGTGAGAATAATTGTTGGATAGCAGGCTGATGCATGCTTCTAGGAACAGGCAAAATATGAAAATTTTCTGTTTTTCTCTCTGAATGTTCTATTGCATTTCTTGTGTGATGTTGAGTGTAAATATGTGTTTGATTTCAAAATTAGATAAGTTTTGATATGAATTAGAGTGTTCTGTGGGTTCTTGAGAGAACCTTATGAGAAACAGGAAAATTTATAATGTTTTCTATTTTGACTTCTGAGTTTTATATTGTTTTCTTTGATGTTTGCTGGGTGTGAATATGTGTTTGATTTCGAAAACATAAAAGTTTTGATATGAATTAGAGTGTTTTGTGGGTTTCTGTGGGAAACCCTATGAAGTGAAATTAGGGATATGATTTTCGAATGAATTTTGAGGCATTATATGTAAAATTGATGATTGATTCGTGTTTTGGATAATATTTGGAGTGTTTTGACCGTTTGAATTATTATATTAACTGGCTAGCTGTAAAAAATGTGTGAACTCATGAAGTTGGATTTATGACCATTATGCTTCGTATGTTATGAATTGCGAATTGAATGTGTATGATATTGGATAATTTCTTGGTATGGTTTATGTGCTATTTTGATGTATATGTCTATGGGAAGTTTCTTGTATGAGACTATGTAAATATGATGAGATAATGTGAAAAGTGAATAAGACATGAGACATGATGATATGTGATAATGAGACATGATATATGAGAAACTATGACAAGTGAAATGATGAGTCAATGAAATGTGAATGTGTGACATGCATCATGTGCATAAATGTTTTAAGGGTACGATATGGAATACACCGCCAGGGAAAACCCCCTTGTGTAAAAGCTTGGGGATTAGTCCTTGGGGATAGCTCGGTTTGTAAGTCTCAGTCTCGCCCATTGTGTGCATGGGATGTATCTTGCGCGGTTTAGCTATCCCAACTAGACCCTGGTAGTATGTCCTTTTAGTGAGAGTGCGTGGAGGGTGTGACTCGGCATGTACTCCTAGACTACTCTACGTGTGTTGCTAGAGGCAATGCACCATGTAATATGTGACTGGCACCACATGCATGCATTTGTGAGTCGAGTCCATGGCATCATTGTATAATGAGTGACTATGTATGTGCTACTAATGTATGTATGACTTGAGTTGTGCTTGATTAACGTGTGTTTGTGCTATGCTTTGTTATGATTTGTGTATGTGCTGCCTGACCGTTATTTTTACCCCTTAACCTGAGCGAGATGTTTCTCACTCCCCTATTTGTTCTATGTGTGTCTTCTACTGTGTTACAGATGACCATCAACATGAGGATGTTGGTGATGAAGCTTAGGCTTCAGTTGGGCGTGCTATGATAGGATATGTGACATCGTGACGTAGTTAGGATTAACTTAGAATGCTATTTTTGTTAAATTGATTAGAAGACCCTAATTTTATCCTTTTGTAATTTCAACATCAGACTCCGATTTATGTTTTGTGAATGTGAGCTCTTTACCCTTATGTGGTTAGAGACTTGGATTTTATTTATGAAGGTTTTTATTTATCTCTATTTGTTGTATAATTATGTATGTGGGGTAGAGGGTGTCACAAACACTTCCTAAGCACTCTTCCTCAAAGTTCTTGTTTTTCCTCTCCTTTTTTCTCATGCCTTCAGAATACTAATTGAAAAATCCCAAAATGAGGGTTAATCTGCTAACCCTTTCTTAACATTCCATCGGGCCGGGTCAACCTAACTCATTTCACTTTTCGATTCGCTTCTCTTTTTCCTCCAAATAATCAAACAAACAAACAAACAAATAAATATAATACAAATTACTTTTTCCCTAATAATAATAAAATATTTCTAACCCAAAATATAATAATATAATTCTGATGTCAAAATATCCTATAAAGTCAATCTTTTTAAATTTTATAATAAAATATATAATTAATTTAATTATAAAAATATAGGGGGTTGTATCTCATCTTGACTCCTAAATTATCCTTTAAAACACATAAATACTTATTTAAAATGCTAATAAAGATATTTATTTAATACACACAAAAACAAAATAATTATTTAAAATATACAAAATAATATTCCTCTATAATAATTCTAGCCAAATACCATATAATAATAATAATAGTATTTTTGAAAAACGGGTTGTTACAATACTCCCTACCTTTTAAGAAATTCGTTCCCGAATTACTTGAATGAAGAGGTTTGGATATGACTTTTTCATCTTTTCCAACTCCCAAGTAGCACTCTCATTCGAGTAATTTGGTTCACTAAGAAAGGTTATGTATAGAGTCTGTTTGACATGCATTATGTGCATAAAAATATTTTTGTAAGGATACGATATGGAATACATCACAAGGAAAGGTCCCTTATGTAAAAGCTTGGGAACCAACCTTGGGAATAGCTTGGTTTGGAAGTCTCAATCCTACCCTCGTGAGCATGAGATGTATCTTGCGCGACTTAGCTATCCCGACCAAGCCCTAGTAGTAAGTCCTTCTAGTGAGAGTGTGTAGAGAGTGTGACCTGACATGTACTCGTAGACTACTCTAGTGTGTTGCTAGCGATAATGTACAAGTGTGATATGTGTATGCTATATCATGTTGTATGTGTTGTTTGTGTTTAGCTAGCTAGTTTGCATCCTTACACTGTAAGTCAGAGTGAGATATTTTTCACTTTCTTTTCTTTTGTGTTGTCTTGTGATTTTTTTAGGTAATTATTAGCATGACGTTGAGGATGTCGATGATGAGGCTTAGTCCTCAACATTGGATTTTTCTCTAATAGAACACGTGACAGGGGGAATTAGTTAGGATTTGATTCTTGTTATTTACTTTGAGTGGTTTAATTTTTATTTCTATTGTAATTATTTTTCTGCTAAGTCTAGTTTATATTAAAATGTGATTCTCTCTACCTGTGTGAAATTTGAATTTATTTATTATATTGAGGGTATTCAGTTTTATATTGTATTATGGCATGTCGGGTAGAGGGTTTCACACATAATTTAATTAAGTATTGTATTTATTATATATTATAAAGATAATTACATATAACTTTTTTTTATAATTTATTTTAAATTTGTTATATATTATGAATAGTGTTTTTTTTATTACTTTTAATATATTTTTATTGATAACTTTATTAATTTATTTTTAACATTGTAATTCTTTTAAGAAATTTATAATAACTTATATGATTATAATTTTTTTTAATATTATTTTTACATTTCAACTCATTAATTTTGACTAATTGTGATTGTGAATAATCAATTTTATCCAAACTCACAAAATTAATGAAATAGACATCTACTATGAAGAGGAGGAGCTCTCAAAGTATGAAGGTGACAACAAGGAAGTTTAAAGAAAAAAAAAAAATGTTAAGTAGCCCAGAACGGGCCGTTCCAAATTCGGAACGGGCCGTTCCTAGTTACAAAAAAGCACATCAACCCTAATTGAGAACGGGCCGTTCCAAAATGGGAACGGGCCATTCCAAGTCAGTTAAAAGGCCTAAATTTCCTTATCTGGAACTGGCCGTTCCGAATTTTAGAATGGGCTGTTTCGATTTTAGAACGGGCCGTTTTGAATTTAGAACGGGCCGTTTTGAATTTAGAACGGGCCGTTCCAGATTCACATTTAACACAACGTCCATTTTCAGAACGGGCCGTTCTGGTCAGGTCTGACGTCTATAAATAGACGTCTGAGGCACAGTTTTCAGGACCCGGAAAAATTTCGTCCAATACTCTTTGGAGCTCGAAATTTTTTTCTCTCTCTGCCCCCTCTCTTTTGTATTTCTTGAGATCAGTGAGACACCTCTATAGTGTGAAAGGTAGCCAAAAAGCACCTTCTTGATCATCATATTCGAAGATTCAACTCATTCGGTATCATTTCTTTTCTTAACTTTTTTTTTCTTCTTTCTTTTATTTATTTGTTTATTTTATTTTTATTTTTATTTTTTTATTTATTGTTTATTTATTTATTTATTTTTGTTTATTGTTTGTACATAGTGAATATGATTTGTTGTCTTTAAGATTATTTTTTTATAAAAATATTTAATATACGACCAATAATAATGTTAATTGAATAACATTTTTATCTTTAACATTATTAGGTCCTGGAAGTTTAATGACTAGTCATTTGCTAGCTTAAACTCTCCTTAACAATTTTTTTTTATAAAGATATGTTGCAACCAATAACATTAATTAAGGAGCACTTCTACCCTTTAATATCATGTAAATCATAAAAGTTAATAGAATAATTATTCATTGTCCTAAGCTTTAAGCATAATTTCGTATCAACAAATAAAAATTAATAACATTGATTGAATAGCAATTCTATCTTTCATGTTATTGGAAGGGTTTATTGATTAGTCATTTGCTAACCCAAATCCCTATAATTTTCTAATATAAAATAAAAAAGAAGCATCTCACATACATTTCTGAGGAGTAAATTTAATGTTTATAAATTTATATAATTTTGCGCGCTTAATTAAAGGTACT